TGTATCAACATATGCATGTATATATATATATTCATTTATGCCATATATTTGATACTTTTATACTCGTGTATATATCTTGTTCGTCTTGAAGTTATTTTATGAGTTATTATGAATTTATTTTTATCCGAACATTTCAAGAACGTATTTGTAGAACGGGCGTAGAAAGTATCACTTGATCGAAGTGGTATAATCTAATACGATGTTTGAACTAAATGGAATTAAACAAATCAATTTTTAGTTCGTTAATTGTTAATTCATTTTATTTTCCACTGAACAATACAAGTTATGTATTTTATTTTATTTTTATTATAACTGTCAATTTGTAATTTATATTCGATATGCATCTCTTACATATTTGATGTTTGAATATTCTTTAACAATGAAAAATGGTTGAAATAGCTTTCCTTACGGAGGATTGTAAATTTCAAGATTTTTTATCAAGTTAAAGGATTTTCTTTAAATTGTTAATTCGAAGCAAATTAATCAATGTTCGATAAATGGATCACATTTTAACTTTATATTCGATTTATACTTTTCACTATTTATGACGATGTGTAAGCGACACAATACTAATTTTGGGCGTTGTGGGGATGCTTTCCCTTCCCTACACGTAATCGACTCCTGAATCCTTTTTTAATTGAATCTTTGGTGACGCAGATCAAATTTTGTCTTATAAAATGATTTTTTTTTTAAAAAAATTGTTTTAAAAGACGTTTTTAGATATTCGACCTACCTAACTCAAAGGTCGATTGCGACTCATATTCAGTTTAATTCAAATTAATCTAAAATCTTCAATTTTTTCAAATAAAAATCATAACCGTTTTTTTTAAATAATAAATAATTATTTTACAAAAAAAAAAGAATGATTTATGACAGATGTCTCAATGGGTATACCCCTTTTGACTCACAAAAACCAGATAAGGTTCCAAATCCTATCATGTTGAGTCACAGGCAACACACAAAGCGCTCTGTCGAATGTCCTACTAATCAACTTCTGTTCAGTTAGCGTCAACAAGTACATTATCCAAATCCTAGGAATCTTATGCATTGTAACAATCGCTTCCTCAATAGTATTAGGTTTCATATTGAGGGTGAGTAACAGGTAAATTCAGAACGATTTCGAGATGTTCGCGTAAATAAGCGTGCCAAAGCTTGTAACTACCAGGCAAAGCTTTCAAAGCTCGCTTGTATATTCTAAATCTATTCTTGAAAGGGTAGTCCGATCTAGCAATTAGATACTTCCACAAGAGCTTCCTTAACACTTTCTTCTTGTAAGGGTCATCTGGTCTAGTGGGATGAGGTACTAGGTCCCTAAACAATGTCAGGGGTCACCCTCACCTTTGCAATACCTGAATTGGATTCATACGTTATCTTCTAATAAAAGATACATTGATGGGGAAAATTCAAAAATTTAATATAGTACATTAGTGAAAACAATATTAAACTTTAAACCAAAATCAATTTCTTCAATATAATAACGTAAAATTAGAGATAAACGTAAAATTTTATACTATAATATAAATTTACAAAATTAAAAAAAGATTAAAATAGATAAAAAATGTTTATATTATATAATAATTTCAAAGTTTTAGAGAATAATAAGGGCTCATGTTTGCTTCTCCCTCAATTTACCTGTGTAAAACCAAAATTATTATACTGCGTGTAATGTGCAATTGCACATTGAAAATTTCAAAATAGTTTTATATATGTATATATATTTTAAAGGGTAAAGTATAGTAATGGTCATTGAATTTTTCTAAAGTTTTCATTTAGGTCCTCCAACTTTTAAAACTTGCAATACAATCACCCAATATTTAGTCCATTTGCAATATGGTCCCCGACCATTACATTATAGTTAGTACGTTTGCAATATGGTCACTGAACTTATCAGGCACTTGCATTTAGGTCCCCCCAACTTTTAAAACTTGCAACACAGTCCTTAATTTTATTCTAAACTCCAAATTCCTTTTCTCTCTTCTCATTTCCTTTTTCGCTTCTCTCTTCTCATTTCCTTTTTCGCTTCTCTCTTCTCATTTCCTTTTTTGCTTCTCTCTTCTCATTTCTAGCGTAACTTTTCAGTCGGGGATAAATGAGAAATTTTAATATAACTTTGAATTATGTGGAGGTGTTGACTTGAATAAGGGTCCATTGAGAGAAGACCCAACCAAAGGACTATCGGGACCATCAACGATTCAATGTATAATGTTAGATACATGTCATCTCAGGTGTTACATAGATGTTCGATGAAATGCTTGTGAGAAAAAAATGGGGTTAGAAATGAAGAGTTGACAAATACTACTAAGATTAACTAAGTATCATTGTTGAAAGCCACTAACAAAGCTGGAATTATTTTGTATAAATGACATATAATAATTTTTTCGTTTAATCATTGTGGTTAAATATTTTCCAATAGATGATCAAATATAATGAAATTCCAAACAACGCATTCACCTCTCAATCTCTTTCGCAACTCGAAAGGCATCATGACAGGGTCAAGTAGATGCTCTAAATATACTACCATGTCATGATGTCTTTCGAGTTGCGTGCATGCAGAATTGTCTTATAAAGCTATAATCTAATACAATCTATGAAATTTTCAAAACATGTAAACAAATCCAATTCGTTCACGATATATCAGTCCCATAATCAACATGAACTTATTAAAAAGAATACGAGCTCACAGGAAGCTGAAAACCACAGGTCGGATCAATACAATTCCCAGTAAACTAGTACCAGCAGTCTCTCAGATTGAGCCTGGCGATTTTACTATGTCGATACTCACAATCAATTCCCTGATTTAAAGAAAACCCAAACAAGAAGATTAAAAAAATGGCCTAAGACCCTATTTCACTTCTATTCTGATGGAATGAATATCTTTCATAAGGAGTACTAAAAGTTTTGATTAAGAAGAAAGAAAGAAAATTAGATGGTTTTGGGTCAAAACTAACACTGAATATCCAGATCATTGGCATGCAGTTCCAGAAACATAAAAATTTCAACAAAAAACACAATGCGAGCTGAAAATAGGAAAGTGTGAAAGAGGAAAAGCTTACTTCCGGATAGCCCAAAAGAGAAAATAAATACCTTCTTGCAAGTGAGGGGAGAGGCTAAGAAATAAACGCAATCAATGTTGCATTCCAGCAATTCTTCCTCCATTTTTTTGTAAATAAAAAGCTGAAAACATATAACTGCTTGGGTTTATAATTTTACATGGCGGAAAATTGAAAAACAAAAACCAAACGAGAGTGCATGTGAGCGAAAGAGACTGAGAAGTGAATGCGTTGTTTGGGATTTCATTATATTTGATCATATGTTAGAAAATCTTTAACCACAAGGATTAAACGAAGAAATTATTATATACCATTTATACAAAATAATTTTAGCTTTATTGATGACTTTCAACAATGATACTTAGTTCATCTTAGTAGTATTTGTCAACTCTGCATTTCTAACCCCATTTTTTTCTCACAAGCATTTCATCGAACATCTATGTTTCACCTGAGATGATCTGTATCTAACATTACACCTTGAATCGTTGATGGTCCCGATAGTCCCTTGGTCGGGTCTTCCCTCAATGGACCTTTATTCAAGTCAACACCTCCACATAATTCAAAGTTATATTAGAATTTCTCATGCATCCCCGACTGAAAAGTTACGCTGGAAATGAGAAAAGATAAACAAAAAAGGAAATTCGAGATTGAAAAGGAATTTGGGGTTTAGAATGAAATTGAGGAATATGTTGTAAGTTTTAAAAGTTGGGAGACCTAAATGCAAGTGTCTAAAAAGTTCAGTGATCATATTGCAAACGTACTAACGGCATTGTAATAGTCGGGGATCATATGATAAACGGATTAAATGTTTGGAAACTGTATCAAGTTTTAAAAGTTGAGGATCTAAATGAAAGCTTTAGAAAAGTTCAGTGACCATTATTGTACTTTACCCTATTTTAAAATTATTTCTGCGTATATATATATATAGATATATGCAACCATCCTATATGATATATCGGGTAGAAAATCATTAATGAATGAGTTATGGAAGAGAAAAGAGAAAGGGGAAAGGCTATGGTATGAGCGTGGGTGGAGCGTTGAGACCTATACAATAATAATACAATGCAAAGGATTGGATTTGGATGGGAGCGAGGCAGCGTTTTTAACTTTTCAGGTCATCCAACTGCTAAACGTAGATACCGTAAGCACCTAATAATATATTTCATCCCACACGCAACCCCTCCTCCGCTCTCTCTCTCTCTCTCTCTCTCTCTCTCTGCTGCAACTGCAGACAATACAAACACCGTTGCACGACATTCAAAGCCGCGTTTCGCCTTCTTTCTTTGTGAGTCGTTTCCACTTACACCCCCACGCCATTATCGTATTCTTTTATATTTCTTATCTTTATCATATAAATAAATAAGCTGACTTTTTGTTCTACTTAAATTTTGCATTGTTGGCGTTGAAGGCTTTACTCATTTGGGATGAAATAAGGTAATAAGTTTTCTTGGGTGATTTTCAGTTTTCGTGTTTGTCTTTGATCATCACTTTGTTATGTTCTTTAGCGTTATTTTCTTTGTTGGCTTCCGGTTTGATTGCCTACGGAATCAGTTAGAAGTAAAGAACACTGTAAAAAGTTTGATGTTTCCCTTATTTGATGATGAAGAATTCGTATAGATGAAGTTCTTTTTTTTTCTTGCTTGCTGGGCATCTTTCGTTTTCTTTACTGATCTGAAAATTGGCAGGAGTTATACCGCAAAGTATGCAATTTTTTAATTAATGATGAATGGATAGTAATCTGAGTATTCTCTCTCTTTCCTTTTTTTGTTGATTCAATTGTTTCGCAGTGAATAAAGTTAGGTTCTCTTTGCGCGTGTCCTGTTTACTTCTCCAATCCTCCATGCTCAAACCCCCCATTATATTTGATTCCAAGTTGAACCATTTATTCAATAATGTACCAAGTCTTTACCTAAATGGACGTTAAGCTGTGGTGACAAGCGCGAGAGGGAAATGTATGTATTTTTCATGGAGCTGTATGCCACTCTTGAACCAACAGTGGAGCTTGAGAAAGCTTATGTGAGGGATGCTATTTTCTCATCATCTGGATACGCAACTGAGTGTCTTAAGCTCACCCATTTTGAAACTTCGGCTTCTACGCTCAAAGGCACTATGCCTGGCACTCATTGCTTTGCATATACATCTAAAATGGGCTGCCTTTATGCCATAAATCATCTGGTCACCTATGGGGTGCTCGCCATTGTTGAGTCTCGAGCTTCTGCAGCTTCACCTGCTTTTACCTCTGCTGCAGTAGTGCCACCTGATTTCAAAGGGAAGACAATGATGACGCCGAATGGGTTTCAAGGTTGTCGAACATGGAGGCAACAGATGAGCTTGCCAGCTCCATGAGTTGAAACCTTATAATTCATCCATGTTAGCTTTGCCCATTCCTGGTACTTGGAAGCGACATACAGTTTTTTTTTTTTTTTTGGGTTTAGTGCTGTGCTAACTGATAATTCCCAGTGATATCTTAATGGATTATTAAGCTGATAACAGCTTATACATCTCGGCGATGATCAGATTGTCAAGTTCAAGATGCTATTTTTCTGCTGATTATGGAGAAAATTTTATGATCTTATGAGAATGAAATTGTGTTTTGATTTTGTTTTGTTATGATGGCTGAAAATTCCTCAATCGAAGTCGATGTAGTTCATCTTGTTTTAATATAAGATGGTGTACTTACAGGTAATGTAATTGATAGATATTGTCATGGATTAGCCTTTGCAGAGTTCTTGATTGTTTCAAAGGTCGAACTTACATGATTCAGTTCACCAGCTAAAAGAAATCGTTCGCCCCCAAATCATTTAAGGTTACAAAGATTCCCCCTCCCAAGCATGAAACAGGGTAGGCCTGACAAACCACAAAACAATATAAAATCATCGTGTATGCAATTATTCTGCAGGCACTTGATTTACAAACTCAATTCTTCTTGATCTGCTGGCGAGCTCCTGAAATTTAACAACTTAACATCGACCTCACTCTAGAGAGGATATTAGTTTCTTACACCCCTCTTCTTTTATATACAAGCCTCTAACAATGCAGATGTGTGGACTGTACCGCCATAGACATAGTAGTTCATTCCTTGCTAATGGTCAATATAACATAATGCATTGATCTAACCGGTGGCTGATGTGGGTGCAGATGTTTTAATAGAGAGAACTGCTGAAGGTTCCCCGTCAACATCTAGATTGAGACTGCTGCTAATTTTTTCTACTCCTGGCCTCCAACCAGGTTGTGTCTGAATAACTTCTAAATTACTATTACCAGCAGAGGTCAACATGCTTTGCTGTCTAAGGTTTATGTCGGTGGCATCTTGAAGCAATTTCATCATGCTACCAGAATCAGAACCAGGTGAAAGCTCTTCTTCCCGCTCTGGTTGGATATTCAAGTCAATTTGGCCTTTAAAAGGTGAACTTGAGGATTTTACTCTGTTAGGATCATCTTCTGAACCCTCAGTGGCAACCTTTTTTGGCTTTGGTATGCTATTTTCTGCATCATTAGTGCAAGAGGGCGGGTCACCACCCACTACTTTATCAGGCAATAATGTTTGCTGCTTCATGCCAGTAGATTCAGCTTCCTTTTGTGACTGCTTCTTCTCACGCCGCTGCATGAGGGTGCGGAATCGTCTCTTCACTGTTTCGCAAACATTACAAGTACACGTCTGCTTGTGTTTGGGGCCTTTCCCACTTGGGGGTTGAATGCATACGATACATGTGCAGCCAGGTCTATGCCGTGGGTGCTTCGTGGTGGCCTGAGAGGAAGCAGGGAGAGAATCACCCTCTCCCAAGATAGCGAGGTTGGCAAGGGTGTCGAGCCCCTCTAAAGCATCTACGCTTTCTGGTTCCTGTTTAGCGGCCTTCATTTTCTTAGAAGCAGCTGTCAATCACAATCACAGACAATTTTCTAATTTCACAATGGTAATAAACTACAAGAATCAGTTTTATATTCAAAACTCATCAAGGAATCAAATTCATGTATAATTTACTCCGAGTGAGTCGCACAAAACATAAAGTGTTGTTTTCTTTCAGTCAACAAATACCTGGATTACATTGTGACAGCAGATTTTCTAGCTGTTCAGCAGTCAATTCTTGAGTGGCTGAACAAGAAGATCTGCAGCATGGTAGATAAAGAAAGAATTGGTGAAATGTCCACACAAAACAATTTTTTTAGTTTTTCACCCCCATCCCTCAAGTGTTCTTTCCCCTAAATTATCTTTTGACTTGATTGATTGCAGAGCTAAATCAAATGTGTGCTTACCTTTCTGGATCCCATGAGTTGCAGGAACAGGTCCACTTGGAAGGAAGAAGAACATTAGAAGGCAATCTACGCCACTTAAAACAATCTTCGCATTGAGCCCACTGAATCTTTTCCCTGGCACAAAAGAAAATTGATATTTGCTTGGTTTAGGACAGCTGTTGCTTCCTATAAGATAAGGTAACGAAGTAAATAATGATTGGATTTTGTTTTCATAATGAGCATAGAATATTTGAATCAGCCCACCAATGTTTCAACGTTATACGGGAATACAAAGTAAATAATTATCTAGTATATACATGAGCATCCAAAAGAAGGTGAGTTACCCCATATTATCGATAGCAAATATTGTTGGCTTCCCAAGAATCGGTGCATCCTGTTATTAACAAACACAATAAAATCAAGAAAATACAGAACGATTACAGAAAATAGAAGGAAAGAGAATCCCACAGAAAGGATAGAATTTGTAGAACATATAAATATCAAAATACTACTAATAGGCAACCTAAAAATAGTGAACTGATAAATTAATAATCACATCCTAGAAAAAGTAAAATGAACAGACGGTGATGAAATGGATTACATATTTGAACAAAAAAAACTTGAAAAAGGCCAGAATGAGAAAGAATGAAATATTCTCGCATCTAATTATTCTGGCTCTGTGAAGGCGTCCATAAACAGATAACAGTATACAAATTGTTCCAGAGCAACCTTTAAGTTTTCATCAAGGGTGCATCAACCATACAAATTCTAAGATATGCATGTAAGAGGAGTTCAATTTGCCAAAAAAATGAGTAACAAACATTACAAAAGACAAAATATGGCTTCTATTGCTGCCAGTTTCAACCAAGAGTGATTTGAATCACAACAGATGTTAAATGTGGTCAGAAAAGAAACAGATTAATAAGGATATACCATACCTCATATTCTTCAAACTCAAAACCTTCAATGACTACAACACTCGCCACATGATTAGGAGGGGGGCGAAGCAGCCCTTGAGCTTCTTCCCATGTTAATTTCAGCTCTAGAAGATCTTCATTATCAAATCTAAGACGCTTGCTTTTTGAACCCAGCATGCTGCTATTCTTCCTCTTTCTGAAAACTGCCACTTTGGCTCCTAATGCTTCCTTTGCTATGTATCCTGACTTATCAACTTTTGACCATGAGGTAGGGTCTGCCATTTCAGCCTGGTTCACGAATAAAATGCTAGGTGAAGCTGAGCTATTTTCAAATAATATATAGTTAAGGATATCGCCAGTTTTATGTTTTGAGGCACTGACATCTCCATGCATAGAAACTCCATTGCTATTTTTGGCTTCATTGTCCTGCCAATAAAAACACGCATGAATGAATGTAAATTGCAATTTGAATATGTTGATCCATAAGGGGCCACTCAAAAGTTAAGTTAAAAAACAATTAAAAGCCGTCACAAAGACCAACCATAAGTTTTACCATAACTGAAGGGGAACAAAAGCACTCATGAACCAGTTCTATTGCATTTTATCTTAGCCCTGAAGCATATAGATGCAAAATCAGAATAGATGCACAACCTGATCAGATGTTGAAGCAGTTGAAGCCTTTCTGAAACCCATGACCAACTTCCCTCCAGGCTCTAACCGACTAAATGTTACTGAGGAAACAGCATAACTATTTGTTTCAAAATAGATGCAAGTATCAAATGATAATGCATGATCATAGAAAATAGACACAGCTGGTAAGAAAGATAAAGCAAAAGCACGAGAGTATGAAACACACAATTAAAATCACTAGAGCAATAGGCTAGACCCGGTCATTATGTATATGAACTGGTAATCCAAGGAGCAACTAAATGAAAACAGGAAGGTTCTGGTGAATAAAAATAACAGAGGAAAGGCAAAGTATATGGCGATGAATTAAACATAGCATAGTTTGGGTCTCAACATAAAAAATTGAAATATCTAAATCAATGTATTCCACTGATATCAATTTGTTACCTATGTCACCCGCTTGCACTTGCATGTTCTGTATGCAAGGAGTAACCCCCTCTAAAACATACATTCTGCTATTATTGTTGGGCCAGAAGCGGAACTGAAATATCCATTCCTTTCCTTTTGAATCCTGTACTTTAAGAGGTAAACCTTCTGGCTGAGATATCGGGGGGAAATGGGCCTGCCTCATAGCAAGTGTATTTTAGTATGTTACAATACTATAGGAAACAGTTTATGAGAATCTAAGATTTACTACACCAAATACAAGACTCGAATAAATTTAACTTCAGCAGAATTAATAACAGTACAAACTAGATGAAAGTGTTTCCAGTATAAAAGTTAGCAAAAATGCATAAAGTCAAAACCTGCTACCTTGTGACAATAGCAACCTAGATAATTGATATAAAAACAGAGTTTACTGCCAAGCTTTTTACTAGAAAGCTGTTAAAAAAGTAAATGCTAATCAAATTAAAAACTTTTAAGCAGGTTAGACTAAGAGCAATGACTCACTCACCTCTGCACATTTTTTGGGCAGCACTAGACGTCCAATTCGCCCAGCATCACTAGCACTCAACATTTTCTCAAACAAAGGAGTGATTGTAGAATTTGAGCTTAGATATCGTTAAGTCTAACTGAAGAACGACGCAATTAAAGAATGGAGATGATTTGCACATAGGTATTTATCATTATGTACACAACAAACACATTTAGACAATAATCCAACTTTGTGATTTGACATTACTGGAGATATTTTACAAAAATTGTAAGTATGTCTTTCACATAAGAGCAATTTTCAATAATGCCTTATAGAACTAAAGGATACTCTCCTGTTATTTGCTGCAGGTCTTGGTCAGTAAACCTAGGCCAATAACGAGGAAATAAATTAGTTTTTCCACGGACATCTGGTAGAGGCCTCCCATTTCGAATCTGAGTTTCACTTGATGAGTCAATCCCATTTTGAAGAGCACTATGAAATTGCTTGGCAGGTGGAGGTTGAGGGTTTGGTCGCAATTGAGTTCCAGAAACCCCAATTTGACCATTTGCTTCATCTTGAGATGTATAAGATACAGCTAACCCAAATGATGGATTAGATGACTCCTCCTTCAGAGAAGACTGCTGAAATTTAGTCAAACATGAATTACGCTGCTCCTCAAAATTGATTCCTGGACAAGAAATGGTTCATACAAGGTTCAGCACCCACCAATAAGCTGATTTTACAAACAATTTTTGCTGAACAAAATGCTCGTCCTAGCCTGGGAGGCAGCATTCACATGAAAATGGTAATGTAAGGATTGATGTTCTTGTTATATGTTCCCTATGGTTGATACAAGGAAAAGTTTTAAAAACCTGAATTTCCCTTCTCCTGTATATCAAGTGTTCCAGGCTTCAAGTTTCCATTCATTAACCTTTCAGAGAAGTCCTCAACATTCTTCTTTTCCAGGGAAGGAGTAGATAATCTGTCGCAGACTTTTAGTCTATCAATGCCCCGTGGAAAGTCAACTTCATAGGGCACTCTAGAATGCAACTCAGGCTGAGCAACAGAAGAATTGAACAAACTGGGCGCCTGCCGCCAAGGTACAGGACCTGAACCAGCTAACTGAGTCCAACCTTTTGCAGAATATTCTTTATATTTCTCAGGCACAGATGAATGGAAAAGCAAAGATTGTGACAAGGAAGAACTTGATCCCTGAGATAGAATGTCAAATAACAAGGTTTATAGCATATTACACAGCCAAGAAATGCTATTGACCAGGAGATACAGTTCAAAGCCGCCAACTTAAAGTAAGAGAACATTTGCTGGAAAAAATGTCTTTTGTTCATATATGACCACAAAGCAACTAGAAATGATAAATTACGGCTCTATTTTAAAAAGTACAAACTCCATTCTTAAATAAAAAAATATATTCTGGAAGAGACATCAGAATAGCACAGAAGAATTATCCAAGCTCACCAAAACAACATTTTTTCTTGCACACGCTATGCACTCTATTCCTCCAGCATCCAACAAAGTAAATGCATGAACTGAAACAATGCATCCGCAATGAACCCGCTGCAGAGATACAAGGAATGTAAACAAAGGTTAAGTCACCAAATGAATCTAAAACTAAAACTAGGGAAGACCAAAGAACGCATTTGGAAACGTACACCAAAATATAGCAAATAACGTTTATAATTGTGTCCAACTAACCTTCCCACATGACACACAGCTCCTCCAACCAGAAGCATTCAAGTGAAAAGTATCACAAAATCTTCCCTCCTCGAAAGCAGAACTAAAACCACAATGAACTTAATTCAGATTATAACATGGAAAGTAAATTAAGCAATTTTAATCCACTTTTAAGGCTTCACGTTTAAGAAAAAAAAATCTTGATTAATTCATATTGAACATCTAAATCGAGTGAACAAATTCCCTAAATTAATCAACGTGATAGCCATAAAAGGAAAATAAATATGCAATTAAACTTACTTTCACACAAAAAATAAAGCAAATAACTTGAAATATAGAAAAAGAGAAAACGGCTAAAAATCTAAGTCAAAAGAGTCTCAAGAAAAAGTGAAACTCACGCGCATCGATCACAAAGCTCAGCAAACTCTCCCGTTCGCAACCGCCAAGCTTTCCTTGGTATTTCCGGTTTCAAGTCCTTACAGTCCGAATTGAAGCAAATCTTAGAAGACCAAGCTGCTCCCGGAGTTGATGTCATCTTACTATTACCTTTTCTTCTATTTTTCCTTTCAAAATTTCAAAAACCCGCAAACTAAGATTCTAAAGCTTCTTATCATGGGAAAAAACACCAAAAAAGGTTAAAAAATGGTTAGAGGCTGATCTGCACAATCATGATTCACGAGGAACAAAAGAGAAAGGAAAGGGGTTGAAGAAGGCGATTTTAGAGAGAGGAAGAGTGAAATTTAAGTGAGAGATAAAAATTAAAGAACCTGAAGATTATAAAATGCATTTTTATATTGTATATAATAATAATAATAAATGAATAAACAAACAGACAGTTTTTTTTTGTTACATAAACAATTTATTCTTCATTAATCTAATCGAAATTTGATTAAAGACTTTAAAATTTTAAAATTAAACATATATATTCAATTAAAAAATTATCCCCTTAGAATAAATTGTGTTTTCAATACAATTTTTTACTCATATTTTTCATTTACGTACACTTTTTTATTTATTTTTTAATTACTATAATTCTATAAATATTGAGGCTTATTCTTAAAAGACACGTCGAGACCGTGGCCTTTTATATCTTGGGCGTCGTCGTGTTTTTCTTTAATGGTTTTGCTTAATTGTTGTCAATTTTTTTTGGGATAAATTTACCCTTTTTTCATATTTAGTTTTCGGGGCCTTTGACTTGTCCTGGACTTGTAGTTTGTTTACAAAATTACCCCTTTGAATTGCAGACTATCCAATAGGAATGGACAGTATTAGATTATTATTAACCTATTTTATTTTATTTTATTTTTTTACTACACATTAAATTCATCTTGGTTTCAATTTAAATTGTATTTAAGATTACTTAATTCATATTATATATATATGAAATAATATTTAAAATTTGCTTTATTTTATATTTTATATTGTTAAAAATGATTATTGACTATAAATATCTTAACCTATATTTTTATTTGGAAATTGAATGTGACTTTAGATCATAAATTAATTTAAATATTTGGTAAATTTGCGGAGTTTGATATTTAAAAAAATATCACATATATTAGATATTCTCGTATCCTTATAACTTGATTAACTTTTTTAATAATTTTTAAGATTAATTAATTTAGTTAATTATCTTTTCATGTACAGTTAAAAGTATTAAAAAAAAGTATTGTAAAGTAAATCAAAGACCAGTTTGAATGGGGCGAGGAGGGTTTTTTTTGTCACTGCAATGGTCTTTATATGGCAATGGAGGAAATCATGCATGGCCCGCCGCCACATCCTTGCATGTTTCACGTAACACTTGCTTCACTTTCTCTAAACTAACACGCGCTTCCCCGGGCATTTCCTTTTTAACTCATGTTTCGATTTTATTACTTTATTCTTTTTGTAAAATTGGTCCAAAATATTGACATTTGTACATTTTAGTACCTGCAAATTTACAATCGTTATTCATTACCATATGATGCATGGGAAATAGGGATAGGGTCAAAGACAATAAGCCAGTTCAGAAAATATTTAACATGATATCAAAAAAATTCTGTTATATTAATGTCAATGATTGTATAACTAAATTTAAATAAAAAAAATTCTGATTAATTTTAAATTTAATCTTAATTCTAACTAAAGGGGAGGGGAAGGAAAACTATAGTATTTATTTAAATAAAAGTATCAATGATTGTAGTCTTTGTTTAAAGGCTATCAAACATTTAACAATAAACGCTCGTACCCCTTACATTCATGGTGTTCAAATCCAAAATCTCAAAGAAAAACAAGTCTCTTAACCATGGAGATCGATTAGTTCATTCATAAAAATTAATATTTTAGATACGGAGTACGATTGATTTAATATAATTTGACTCGTGACTAGTTAGTCTAATCCAATTTACTTCATTCTTAAACGTGCCTCGTCCTACTTAACATCTGATTATTGATTATATTAATATTTAAATATTTATTTATTTATTTAAATATGATAAAAGAATATAATTTGATTATAAAAATCCAAAGAATCAAATATACTGAATTTTAAATATATGTTTATTTATATTTGATACTTATTTTTGAGTCCAAACATAACTATGCTTAAATGACAAAGAACACTGGGTCTCGACCACATCTAACAATGTTGCTAATCTCTCTTGTGGTTTCTTTCCTAGGAGAAACCACAAATGGAGGAGTGAACGAATGACACCACATATTCCTAAGTGCAGTTCACTATTTAAACTTCAAATTTTAAGTAGTCGACACTGTTAGCTTGGACTGATCCCCACATGTTTTATAGTAGTTAACGAGGATATTGAGACCGGGATTTGGTAGTTTTGTGTTTTGTATCTTTTTCTGCAAGCGTGCAGATATGCTTAAATTAAGGTTGAAGATAACTATATATATATATATATATATATAATTTTGCAGCGACCATGATCTAATAAGCAAAAATTGATAATCACAATTAATGCTTCGTCCTGAGGTTATTCTCTCTTGGCTTTTGTCTATACTTAATTTTTAATTTTAAGATTTATTCAATAAAATTGAATTGACTCTTTCTTATAATGTCTGTGAATCTTTGGCACTGATAAAGTCAAATGGTGTTTAACTCCAATTCATAGTGAGAAGTAAGGATACCGTAGCTGGTGAAATCGAGAGCGGCAGATATTAGAAAGTGACCGCATGCATGGCAACCCATTCCAAAGATGACGTCAACAAATCCCACTTCTCGAAGTTGCTGAGATTATGATGTTGGTTTCGACTTTCTGCATTAAGATTCAGTAGGTGGCAATGGCGTGATCGGCCTTGTCAAATCATCATCCAAACCATAGGAATGGGGAGAGCCCGTTCCAAGTGAACCACCGAAGATAAACACATGGAGAGTAAGGGGTGGGGCCTCCTTTTCATGTTCTATTTTTTTGTTGACATTATGAAACAAGACGCATAGGGTAGTCTGGTCTCAAGTCTGAACTAAATTTGTAGAAAATAGCATCGCATTTTGTTCCCGCTTGGGTTCTTGTGTTGACGTTGTACCTACTGCACTGCCTTCCATGTCGCACGCATCCTATTTTTCCTATTTAAGAGTCTTTGTTTTTTTTTTACTTTTGGGTAAACTACATCCAGGGTCTTTTTTTGTGTTACATTTTATTTCGATCATTGAACTTTCAATTGTTAAGTTTCAACTTTCAATTATTCACATTATTTATTTATTATAATATAATCATTAAATCGTTTGCTAATTTATTGACGATTACAGTTTTATGACGTCTAAATTATACAAAATGTTATTTAGCCCCTATATAGATGGAACTATGTTCAGTGTAGAGGGTCTCCTATCCAAAAAAGAAATTATTCCATTACATATTTAGTCATTTTCAGTTCCAAAATTAATTAAATTAAGCATTGTCCCTAAATTTGTTCGTTCAATTATATTTAAGATTTTTTTCAATTTTAAGATTAATTGAAATAGTTGTAACAAATATTAATTAGATACACGTTAAATTTAAAGTTAGATAATTAAATCTTAGTTCTTTTATTTTTATAATTTTAATGTTATTTAGTTCTCTATTATTTTCTAATTTTAAACAAATTACTTTTTTCTAATTTTTTATTAATTCGAGTAAGTATATTACAATATATATTTTTTTTTTATTAATTCGGGTAAGTATATTACAATATATGTTCAAAGAACACTCATAAGCTCGTAGCTATTCTTATTTTTTATGCTCGAACCCATGATTTTAAGGGATAATAACAATTCTTTTATTACCGATATTGTTTGGTTACTTCATGCTTCTAATTTAAAATAAAAATACTTTTAAGTCTTTATAATTTTACAATTAGAAAATTTAAATAAAAACAAGACATATTGAACAGTTTTTTTTGTCTAATACGACAGCCCAAAAAATATAATTAGAGAAATAGGGCAAACTTTTAATTTGGGATATAAGGTATTTTTTACGGTGCTTGGAACTCATCAGGATGATGAATTTCAATAAAAATATTTTTTTAAAAATTATTACCCTAATGTGATAAAAATTAATAAAAAATATTTTATTAGAACTCGCCACTTCAAGGTGACGAATTTAAATAAAACAATATTATTTAGATAAACTCATTACCTTGACGTGACGAATTCTTTAAACAATATAACAAATACGTATATTTCAAATTAAAAAATCTAGCAATCCTATTTTCTCAATTATATTTTTCGACTGCCGTATAGGCCTAAAGAACCCACATTGAACCCATAGCTGAAGCCCAAATTCAAAACCCCGGCTCCTTAAACCTCGCTTTGAAATCCGGGTAGAAAGGCGACTCTGGAGACAGACAGCTGCAATGGAAGAAGAATACGAAGAGGAAGCGACGGCGGCACCGTCGAATCCCCGAGGTCGCCACATAAAAGAAAAGATCTCTTAAAAACAAAGCACTCTCCGTTTCTTTCAACAAGAAGGATCTCAGGTACCATACCACACGCACAACACATTCTTTATTTCCACCATAGTCTATGGATATAAAAGCTACATTATTTTACTTTTCTTTTTATTGATAATCGGAGAATTGACAAGGGTAACTGGGTTTCACAAGAGGAAGAAGAAGCGAAGAAAAGAAGCCCAGAAGAAGCAAGAGCAGGCTGAACGACGCAAGCGTATTGAACAGCGCAAAAAGGTTTTCCCTTTCTTCTCCGATTTCTTTAAATTAAAATGTTCTAGAATAAGCTGTTTTATTTTGATTCAGATGTCTTAAAACTGCAGCTAATATTGTTAATTTTACTATTTTTGCCTTAATGGTTGAATTATTATGGTTGCTGTAGCATTGCTTCTAACAGATAAAGGAAATAGGTTCATTGAATCCATTGCCCTATACAGGTAGAAACTAATTATCTTAGGCATCACAATTTGAACTTGATGAACTTACTATTAAATTGGTGATTTCTCTAGAATCCACTCTGAAAGGATTGACACCAGTAATCTGCCGATGAGATTTTAATTAACATGCGAATCAATTGACGCAAACATTGTGCTTGTGATTCATTCTGACCTCAGTTTACACCTGTTTAAAGTTCAAGGAGATTATACTTACGTTGCCCCGATTCTTTATGTTCCCTAAAGTACCAATGTCTGACGCCCTTATTGCCCAAATATTTGGGCATGTGTGTGAGGCATGATTCTCCAAATACATAGAAAAACATAGAAAACATTGAGCACTCCATGTAAAACTCATACTGGTATCTGGCGCTCTCCCTTTTGTCCAAGTAACATAGTAGGATATGCAAGGAATTGAGAGATATCTATGGGAGTTCATATATATGCTGATAATTCTAGTAGATTCTAGTTTTCAGTGTTTTTGTTTGTTGCACTTTCTACTTAGTTTTATGTTGGTATTTTGCTTTCTCATCTAACTTGAAAATAATCTTAACTTTGGTTGGTGAATTCAACAGAGAAAGTTAGAAAAAGAATTTGCCCTATATGGAGGAGCACTTCCCAGCACAGGTTCAGAACCTGATGGAGTTGATGAGAACAATGAGGATGAAGAAAGAGATCCAACTGCATCAGTTTCTGGTATTTTTCTAATCCTACTAGCTGATGGATTCACAAGCTACTAAAATGTTTATTGACTATTGAGAACAATAATTTTCATTCTTTCAATTGCTCATATTGCACTGTGACATTTTGATGATGCAAAACATAAACCTGTTCATCTTATCATGTGATTGGCTTCTGTTTATTGGTGGAAGGGACAACAAAGTATGATGGTGAAAACATGCTGTCACTGTGATTACGAGCAAGATCTCGCACAAGGAAGAAGAAGACTTTAACAGTAAAAGTACTCAGACACTGAGATCAGTTGGAGATAAAGTTGATAGAAAACAATCCTTGCCTGTGAGTAAAAGTAAACCCTTCAAGAAAGTTGCAAAACACAGATTTAAGCCACCGAGTAAAAGAGAGGGGAAGAAACGGAACAGGAACAGGCATTGATGACTACCTCGAACAAAAAAGTTGCTAGTCATGGATACCAGATGCTATTTCACATGGAGAAGGGTAATTCAAGTTTAACAACCTTAAGGAATTGGCAATCTGCAAGTAACCCTTAGGTTATCCGCATCTTGTTTTTTCTTCTATTGCTTAGTTTGAAGTTTATTTCAGCAATTTATAATTTATTCCCATTTCTCTTTTGAATTCAAATATGGAAGACGTTTTAAAATCCTTTTGAGTTCGGATTTTTGACTTTTCCATCAAATCTATGTTTAAATATTCGGTTTTAATGACTCGTGATTTTTATATATATCCTAAATTATTTAAATTTATCATCACCAGACTTCAAAAAGTGTTATAATAAAATTATAGTTAAAATTATACATAAGAATGATTTAGTATGTTTGAATTTAAACAAACAGTGATCCAAATAAGAAAACTATTTTTTTTCTTCATATTTTAGCGTAAAGTCCACAAGACGGTAGAGGACAGAATTTCATTGTTGAAAAGAAAAACTCTTCTGTCTATCGTCCTATAATGTGGTTGGATAAGTAATCCCGTTTGTTTTGTCTGATTAAGAAGAAAGGATCGAAAGTTGCTGCTTTGCCGTTTTCTTTGATGAACGATGATTAGTTTTCGCCTGTTTCTGTTTGTAGAAAATTTGGTTAAAGCACAGCAAATCAGCAATGGAAGTTAGCTTAAACAGACAGACTGACTGAAACCTAAGAGATCCTGCTTTGATAAACAGACCCACAGAGAAATATTTCGATTATGATTATTTATGGATGATATCAGTATCACGGGCATCATGCGAAATCGACAGCCCATCACGTACGTACCGGAATCAGCAATGATTACCCGTTTTACTGAAGTTGAAATTTGTGCAAATAAATACAAGATAAGTACTACGATAGCGAGATTCCCTAATCCAACGGCTCTGGTAAAACGAAGAGCGGAGCAGAGGCGACCGTTCGAGATTATGATGCGACTCCCGAACCGAAACAGATTAGTCATAGTGCCTAAGCCGTCACTGTGAGGGACTATGTCGACAACACACTAACATTAACGAAAGTTCGCCCACCTTTCCTCCAAACTTTTTTTCATCCTAAAATCCAATTCGCTCTCTTTTTCTCACCTTTTACCTTGAAATTAAAAAGAAAAAGGAAGACAGAAATTTGATTCCTTTTTTGGTGGATAAAATCGAGTCACATTCAGGGAAGAGAGAAGAGAAGTTTGTTGTGTTAGTTTCTCGGGAACCAAACAGGCGGGATTTGAAAAATGCAAATGACGTAATGGCGAGAGAAAAAAGAAGTCTAGATTCGAGTTCTGCCGATGAAGGGCCTGATAGGAAACGACCTGGTCTTGCCAGGTCTCTGTTTCCCCTTTCTTACAACTCTCAAATCAAACGTTTTGTTGATTTTGTCTTATTTGTTTTGATGGCAGGAAACAAGTTTAATTGAATTCTGAGTAAACTGAATCTGATAAAAAAAGCTCTGCATTAAATGCCGTAAGAAGTTGTGGGAATGGCCAAAATATGTGGAGATTTTTTTTTATTTTTTTATTATTCCGGTTTAAATATTGAATAAAAACATTAGACAAGTAGGAGGAGGAGGTTATATACGAAAAGAAGCACGGAGGCCATAGTTGCTATGTTTTATTGGGGTGCATTGTTTGCGCCAAATGAAAAATGGAGCATGGGTGTTGATGCCGTTGCTGACACAACTGAAAACTTAAAAAGAAATGAAACTTGGATTTCTTGACTATTAACTTGTTTTTAATATATGAAAAGAAACAACTTTACCAATATTGCCTATTAAGGAATCTATATCAGATGTATAGTTCTAACTGGTATTTGGTTCATCTTTGTGTCGAACTTCTGCTAGTTTTTCTTTGGGTGGGAAAATGCTTAAAAAGGTTGTTTTATTAACATAAAGCTTTGACGTCGATGCAGTGTGATTGTTGAAGCGCTGAAGGTGGATAGTCTGCAGAAGCTTTGCTCATCACTGGAGCCTATTCTTCGAAGAGTTGTAAGATTCTGGATTTTATACCTGTTTTAATGTTCTTACTCGATTATATTCTCATTTGGAGGATTATGTTCTATAATCTTACAATTCATACGCTCTTGGCAATATGAACAGGTTAGTGAAGAAGTGGAACGTGCTTTAGCAAAGCTGGGCTCAGCCAAGCTTGCTGCAAAGTATGAAATCCCTTTTCTTTTTTTCTCTAAATCTTGTAATGATATGTTGTTAACCCGTTATTGATGCACTTTACCCTGCATTGTTCCAGTTGCCAATGCAGGTCTTCTCCTAAGTGGATAGAAGGATCTGATGGAAGAAATTTACAGTTGCACTTTAAATCCAGGTTGTCCCTTCCTCTGTTTACCGGAGGGAAGGTCGAAGGAGAGCAAGGTGCTGCTATCCATGTTGTCTTGGTTGACACAAACACAGGTCATGTTGTTACATGCGGTCCAGAATCTGTGGCAAAACTCGATGTCGTTGTGATTGAGGGTGATTTCGACAATGAAGATGATGACAACTGGACCGAAGAAGAATTTGACAGTCGTATTGTCAAGGAGCGTGAAGGGAAAAGGCCACTTCTAACCGGAGAACTGCAGATATATTGAAGGATGGTGTAGGAACACTAGGGGAGTTAACATTTACAGACAACTCGAGCTGGATTAGGAGCAGGAAGTTCAGGCTTGGGCTAAAGGTTTCTCCTGGCTGCTGTGAAGGCATCCGTATTCGTGAAGCGAAAACCGATGCCTTCACTGTTAAGGATCACCGGGGAGAGTGTGAGTACCTTAACTTTGGTCATAAAAGATAGCATCCGTAATTCCGTATTTGTGAAGTGAAACAAACTTTGATTATTTGAAAGCTGACAGTAAATCATTGCCTTTTTTTCTTTTCCCTTAATAGTATACAAGAAACACTATCCGCCTGCATTAAACGATGAAGTCTGGAGATTGGAGAAGATTGGCAAAGATGGATCATTTCACAAGAGGCTGAATAAAGCTGGAATTTTTACTGTTGAAGACTTTCTACGACTTGTGATTAGGGACTCGCAAAGGCTGAGAAATGTAAGGCTTCTTTGTCTTCTCCTCTCTGAATCATATTTTATTGTTCCTTTTTCTGTAACTAAATTTTGACCCATTTCTTGTAGATTCTTGGAAGTGGAATGTCTAATAAGATGTGGGATGTTCTGGTGGAACATGCAAGAACTTGTGATCTAAGCGGGAAACTTTATGTTTATTACCCTGATGATATGAGGAGTGTTGGCATAGTCTTCAACAACATCTACGAGCTGAGTGGCTTAATTGCCAATGGGCAATTTTATGCAGCTGATTCTCTCGCAGACAATCAGAAGGTAAAAATAAACTTGCATTTACTTCAAACCCATTTACCCTAATTTTCAGTATGATTTAATTGTTTTGTTCATGCAGGTTTACGTGGATGCTTTAGTGAAGAAAGCATACAAAAATTGGATGCACGTTATAGAGTATGATGATAAATCTCCGCTAGACCCTAAGGAAGAAGCAGTGCAGGTCCTTCACAAGCCAGTGCTCAAATGGATCTTCAAGGCTATCCAATTTCCATCAACCAGCAAGAGACTTTACCTACCCTGACTGTTCCAGTTCCTTCTGAGCATCCTCCTATGGATTCTAGTCTAAATGTTGGAGGTAGTAAATTCTTCACTGAGCCTGAATGTCAATTCATATGAATTTTTCATTTTTCAAGACAACATATTCATGCTGTCTGCATTTCAGCTTGCCCTACTGTTATTTGTATATTTTATTTTGACGGTGTTCTCTGTCTCTCTAGATTATGACGATAATATGGCTGCGAGGTTGTCGTTGCAATCACAAAATGTGCATCTTCATGCTCAGACTCAATACAATGCTGCTTCATTTAATCTACATAGCCCCATGGTTGGTTCTACACACCATGTTCAGGTTCCAGGAGATGATAACGAGATAGCTCTTGGTCCATCTCGGTCATCCATTCCAGGTTTTCATGATGGTGGGACATCAAGTATTCCAACTTATAAGGCAATAGATGATTTCTTATCGGAGGAGGAGATTAGAATGAGAAGTAGTGAAATGCTTGATAATGAAGATATGCAACATTTGCTTCGTATCTTTAACATGGGAAGCCATTGCCATACCACTGCTCCCTTTAATGCTATTGAAGACGGTAATCCGTATTCTGCACCATATATGCCCACTCCATCCCTGACTTACGGTTTCGATAATGAAGCTTCTCGCTCATCAGGCAAAGCTGTAGTGGGGTGGCTCAAGCTTAAGGCTGCTCTGAGATGGGGAATCTTCATTAGGAAAAAAGCCGCTGAAAGGAGAGCACACCTTGTTGAGTTGGATGATCCGTAAAGACTTTCTGCTTGTACATTTCTCGTCTGTACGGTAAGCTTTTAGAATTAGTATGTTTTTAGTTCATACTTCATAGGCTCGAAATGTTATAACGGTGGATCGTCTCTGCTGTGAGTCAAAGTAGAAGATGCAATAAGATGTATAGTACTAGCATCTATACTCTGTATTGTATTCTGAAATAAAAAAGGGCATGTTTATTAGCGGTAGTGATTAGATGGCCTGAGCAAAATCTCAGTGTTGCATAATTGAATTATATGTATATTTACCCTACACCTTTCTTCCTGCGTTACAATGACGGTTCATAAAAAGGAAAAATAAAAAGAAAGAAGGATTCATCGTCTCAATAGTGGCAATAATTATGTCTTTCTTTTCAGTTTTCTGGTGCTTAAAGACATTTTCCACGAGGAGGTATTTCTTTTCGAGGGGTGAGTGCATGGACTGCTACTAAAGGATTGGTTGTAAAATGCTTTTTTACGTTGTTGGAGGTGACATTAAAAAGTGTAAAATCCAATTACAGTTCAGAACAAGTAGCGCACGGGGATCTGGTCCCCAACTCATCCCTTTCATGTGTCTTTTCATTTTCTGCACATCTCGATCGTCGCTCTCTTGTTTTCTTCTGACTTCGAGCCCTAACCCGGGTAGAATCTGCCAAATTTAGCAATTGAAAATTGTGGATACGATTATACCAGTTGAAGGGGTAATTCATAGAAAACAATAGTATGAATTGATGTCTTTGTTATACGGAAAGAAGCATACAAATTGTTCATCAAGAGATGGAGAATGACGCACCCGATTGGAGTGGTGTCAGTGGACTTAAACCCCACATGAACAGATGAAATAGATGTGATGTTAGAGATCCACCTAGAAGGTGGGCAGATTTTGTTGGATAATTATTACTCTAATACAAACTCCTATATCTCAATACCGACAAATATAAATAGTAAAGAAATAAAATAACATATTTCTAAGTATAAATTGATGGCTGATGATAGGCTAATATTATTTGAAAAACCCTCCATGAAACAGACGTATGCATGGCGCTCTGTCCCTACAATGGCATCAAATTCTTCTGCACTTTTACTTTTCTTTTTATTTCTTTAGCCGAAAGAAAGGGAATTATTCTTATAATCAGAAGGTAGAAGAGAATAAAGGGGTCCTCTCTTTCCCTTTTAACCTTGCAAGCATTGGAAAAGCTCCAAGTATACCACTAGTAACATGCTTTTGTCAACAAGCTGTATGGACGTCAACATTATCATTGGGAAATACCTTAAAAAGCATAGATGTCAACTTGTTCAAGCTGGTCATAAAAGTGGGAGAAGGTGGAAATCATTCACTTTAATATGCAATTCAAAACCAGCCTCTTTATCCAGTAACATAGACCAAATATATTATGATCCAACCGAATGAATAACTTAGAACCACTATACTTCAAAGACTGGGATCGAACCCGGGTCATCCGGGTGAGAGGAGGTACAAAGACTCATGTTGTTCTTAACTTGCTATATAATATTCAACACTGGTTTTTTCTAGTCTTCTTGTAAAAGGTTTTATCAATATAGGAAATAAAGGGCATATCCTCTCCATTGTCCAAACGCCACTGTTTGGTGCCGGATACTGAGATATGTGAATGGGATATTGCAGGGATCGTGAGTCTGCTTTGACGTTCACCTTATCTGAAGAAACTAGTAATTAATTTGTATTACTGAGACAACTCTAAGGTAAGACCATTGCTCCTCTTTCTTTGAATATACGAAAAATGATGCAGCTTGAACTATGGGAAATCAATAGATATTGAATAGTGATTTCTGTGTGATAAGATTGGTGTTTTTTAGATTTGACTAGCGATTACTGTTGGGACTGGAGGAGACAAACTAGTATACATACAAGTCGAGCAATATTGCAAATTAACACCACTCACCCTAGCAAAACTAAAATGAGGCTTACATCATTTCAAGTGCAGATTCCATATATTACGTTCAATGCAAGATTTAAGACAAACCCAAGAATCGACGGTAGGTTTTTTTCCCTTTAGATTTTGTGTTTCGAAAGAAATCAGATACTTTCGTTCCAGTTAAACTAAATTTGCAACTTTCTAATTTAGAAAGAACACACTCATATCATGCTATGTTCTCTGTCCTGTTTCCTTACAATTATTGCTGATGTCTTTCTATAGTTTTCTCGTTTCTGTTTTCTGGCTTATATACATATACAAATGCACGCATATTTCCTTTGGCATGCATATTACTTTATTTCTTTTCAAGTTCCAAGGAGTATTAAGTGTGAATAAATAGGCCCCAAGATTAGTATAGTTGGGCCAACTTATGAGATACAAAAGAAATAGAAAAAACCCACGTAAAGCGGGTTTACAACCAAACAAATTAATAGACGTATAGCTTGAAATTCTCTAATTGTTAAGACCTGATGTGTACTTTTGTCTACTTGCATTTTGAGTTTGATCAGAGTTTTTTCGAATCTTATGAATTTGATAAAGTTTATGAAATTTCTGCTCAGCAAGGAAAAAAGTGCCCAAGAAGGTAGCTATCCATGAACAGAGTGGCGCTCTTCGTAAATCCTGGAAAATTTCTGGATCAAACAAGAATATGGAATTGGAAAGTGATAAGAGAAACCAGATTATTTTGATCCTCTCGAGTGGCATTCCTTAAATGCACTATCCCATTACAGTTTTCTCAATAATTTTCTTTGAATCCGGGACTTTTCACAGTTTATCTCTTGATAGGTGACGCTTAGCAGGTTTGGAATTTAAATTTCAGTATCTGTAATCTCTTCACCTATAATTAGTTAGACCATATCCCCTTTATACCAAGAAAGAAGAAAGAAGTTATTCTTTTTCTTAACAATTTTTTTATAGTAATTTGGGGTGATAAGTAGTATATATTTATGATCTTTCTTAACCATCGATAACGACGTAACTTTTGGAACCTAAGACCTCAAAAAAAGAATAATGGGTATGCAAAAAAAAATTCTTTTTTATAAAATAATGGTATACACTTGCCCCTATGACGATTTAGGGTATCTACACCTGATAGTTTGATTCGTGCAAAATAAAACTCCTTTTAGCCACTAAAACCGCTCAATATATTTTTTGAATATATCAACAATTTTAATCAAGATGAATATGTTTATATGAAATAAATTTGGATTAAGCTCATGCTTCATCATAGTACTACATTCTAAATGTATAATAAATTTTCATAAAAGTTAATTTACAATCGTAATTTTACTTAAAATTGAAATGGGCACTACGAAATAAAAATAGGATAAATTATAAATTTATGCATTGAATTTTATTTTTTTCCATTTCATTCAATGTACATTCAAAAATTTTAATTTACTCATTAACCTTTATAAATTAAAACTTTTTAGTCACTCTCCGTTAATTTTCTAACGACACTATGATATGAAAATATAGACTAAAACGATGTTGTTTTGGATTCATACATAAAATTATATTTAATTCAAAATGACGTTATTTTGAATTCTTACGAGAACTTATATTTTTTTCATTTATTCTCTCTTCTCTCTTTATCTAAACCAATTTAAAATCCGACTACCGTATTAGCTGTTATTCTGGTTACCATCAATCACAATCGTCGGAGGGCGATGAGTCAATTTCTTTTTACCAAACTCGCATTGTAAGTGAAGTCTCTAGTAAAGTGTGGTGTCGTTAGAATTTGGTAGGAAACGGTTAGAGAGTTTGTTAGATTACTGGTTTCCTCAACAAACTCTACTATAGCAATTTGTATAAATAAGCTGGTCCTCTCTTAAAGAGAGTACAGATCTTTTCAATAACCTCTCTTTCTCCATTTTAAAACGGTATCAATCGCCATTAATCTTGGAGTGTAACTGCTACGTTTTAATTCTTTTGTTGTTGACGAAAGTTCAAGATGCTCGTCCAAATTCTTTTGTGATATGGTTGTTTACTATGGTGCTGCTGTGATCATTGAGGAAGAACGCTATAGGTGCAATCAAGTAGGTGACTCAAAAATCGGTCTTGAACTGATTTGTTTTTAATCGAAAGAATTTTATCTCCTATATTGAATTAGCTAAGGAGTAAATAGATGAATTCGATCAGTTTCGTTAAGATTCTTTATACTCATCTCTGCTTTGGTATGTGCATCAGTCTTTCAGTCTATAGCTTTGTTTCAAGCATTATCCGTTGAATCATGTGGCCATATGACTCGTGGTGATTCATTGTTTGAGGAACGGATTAGCGATTGTTAGGTATCCTTCTTTGATCGAAGACTGTGTCTCGTTGATTTTTGTGTCCTTGAGACTCTATAGCAGTTCTTCTGGATTGCACTTTGTTTTTTTTCTGTTTCTTCTGGATTGCTCTCTGTTAGTTATGATTTCAGTGTGATTATTGGTTTCTAATGGTTGAATTAGTAAGTGATCTTTGTTGGCTTGTGGTTCTGTCCGTAAACTGTTAGCTTTTTTGTTTGGAAGAGTGTATTTGCTTCAAGGATGACAAATGGCTTCCATTCCTAGTGGGAGTTTAACTATTATTATTTCGAGCCCATATTCTATTCACCATCTTCCCAAAATTGATACTGTCAAGTTGTCCAAAAACACTTACGTTATTTGGAAACATCAAGTAATGTTGATAAGTGATGGTTCTAGTCTAATCATTTATATTTTGGATGCCTCTCCTGTCCCAAGCCAGATTGTTGTAGATGATACAGGTCAATCTGTTGAAAATCCTGCATTCTAGCCGCATTGACAACAAGATAAACTTCTAGCTTCATGACTTTTGTCTGCTGTCAATCCTGAGGTCCCTCTACACCTCATAGGCCTTGACACTACTTGTGCTATTTGGAATATGTTGTCTCGTCTGTTTGCTGCAAGGTTTACTTCAAAAATTTCATCCCTACGTCGTAGTCTTCATTCATAAAAGAAGCAAGGTTTGTCTGTTAGTATCTCGAAAAATAAAATTAATTTGTAATACACTCAATTCCTCAAGGAGTGTGGTCACTGAACAAGAACAAGTCAGCGTGGTCCTTGTTGATTTATCTGTCGAGTTCGAATTTGTGATTGTTGTTGCCTCACGAGAAGCCTTATCCCTTGAGAATCTTAAAGAAATATTAGTTTTTGTGAGACCAGACAAAAAAAGTTTCTATCCGAGACTCTTCAAATTCATGCCAATCTAGTGGGTCGGATTGGACATCTAGTTCAAAAATGCTACTATATGTTTGATCATAGCTATCAAGGGAATATAACTACCTCAAATGAGTCTTATAGCGATGGTGGTTTGAATCGAAATAATTTTTCTGGTCATACTCAGAAGGTGGAAGCTCATTTTCAAGCTTACATGCATATTGTTAGATCAAATAATATGGTGTTTAATTCTTCAGTGGTCTCTTATCCTGGAATTCCACATCATGGGTCTATGGTTGGTTATTTTGGTCCTATAATGCCACCAATGTCTGGTTTGTATTCTCCAAATGGAATTGTTCCTTCATTGCTCAAAATAATCCTTTTGTAGCTGCTGCATCGCCACCTAATTCTGAGACTGTGTACTCCTAGTGCAAAAAAAAGTAGCATGGTATCCCAATTCTGGTGCCACTCATCACATCACAAAAGAGTTCTCTAATCTTCACGTCGACAAGACATACACAAGTAATAATTCCTTACTAATGGGTCATGGTGACAAAATTAGTATTGCTCGTGTTGGGCAAAGATCCTTATTGACATCTACTAAGTCTCTAAAGTTGCAGAATTTGTTACATGTTCCCGATATTAAAAAGAATTTATTATTTGTCTCTCAGTTAGCCCGTGATAACGATGTGTTTTTTTTTAAAATTTCACCCTTACAAATGTTTTGTTAAGGACTCTCAGAACAAGAGTACTCAGCTAGAGGGGAACCTCACGCCCGAAGGTTTGTACAAGTTGTAATCGCATGTGAAAACACTTTGTAAGCTAGGGCTTATAATGCATCTAAGTCTCACAATTCTTTGTTTTTGTGGAATCAACGTCTTGGGCATCCATTATTGAATTTTCTTAAGACTGTTTTACATTCTTGTAATATAAATGTCAGTGATAATAAACTGTCATTCGTTTGCTCATCGTGTTTACAAGGGAAGACACAAACTTCTGTTTCCATTGCCTACAACTAAGTATGATTCTCCTTTTCAGCTAGTTGTCTCGGAAGTGTGGAGACCAACACATGTTTCCATTGTCTGAGTGTCGTTGAAAGTCAGGAAATTTTATCCTTAGAGCTTAATTTCCAAGCAACTGACTTAAGCCAAATCCATTAGAAAATTCAATCAAGACATTATTCTCTAGCAGCATAACTCCATGGTAATAAACGAATTCCGTACCTATCAATCATCCTTTGTTATGGCGTTAACTCTTACTTCCCCATGATTAGAACTTTGCATCACATTGAAGTCTTTTGAATCGTTGAACTGAATGAGATTTTTATTTTGCAACCTTTGAATGATCTTCTTAAAGGTGAGACAATTTTCGATGGAATATCCGGAACATCACCGTAATATTCACAATGTGTGCTATCATGTACCACCTAAGGTATGAGGGTTTTAGAGGATACACTAGATATGGTGATACCATACACTAGATATCGTACCAATGTTTTCTTCGTACGAACTTGTCTGACTCCCAAATCTCTTATTAGACCTGTTGACTCATCCTTTCCTTTGCAGGTTAGAAAGACTGTTTCTCTGTCAATTTGTTGACGGTGGTGAAGTGACAACGGGGAAGCTAAGTCAGTTGCATCAGTATAAGGTCTGCTATTCTGTTAGATGTGTATTTTATCTAATATGAATATAAAATTCTTATTTTTTTTAAACCTTATTCAAGTCTATCTCTTTCGGAATAACTAAGTTTATTTTTTTACTTAGAATATGCTCTGAAGATATTATTTTGTTCCGTGCAACAATTCCTCAACCTTTTATGTTTTAATTGTTCCTTGAAATATTCCATGTGATTTCGTGCACAAGTATCGAAATATTCACAATTTTTGCTTATTTTTTCTTTACGTAAGAGAAATTATACACGTGATTCGTTTATATGAAGGACTTAAGGAAATAAAAAAGAATAGAAAAAAATGAACTCTAGCTGTCTCAAGTCTAGTAAATTTGGCAATATGGGACATTTGAGCTAGTCTTCAGCATTGCCTGCATGCTTTATTTATTCCGACATGTGGTCTTGCACTGTTTAGATATATTTATGTTTTTATTGATTAGATTTTTCAAACCATTACTCAATTACTAATAAGAATATAAAATAGATTTTCCCCCTCTAATACTGGTAATTGGCAATGTCAGAGAGGGTGTTACTGCTGGTAAGGCCGTCGGAATGGAAGTGGTTGTTGTGTTATCTTTTCCAGAGCAAGTTCATCTTTACACCCTGCCATTGAAGTGATAAACTCACTGCTTGATTTGCAACCTGAAAAATGGAGCCTACCTCCATTTCAACATTGTAAAGCTCTTGACACCTCCATCTTCTTCTTAAACCATGGTTAGTAACCTTGACTTACTAAACAATATTCATAAGAATATGATGCTATGATTTCATGGATAGAGGGAACTTTTCCAGCAGAACCTTGGTACATTGGTGGTACTGTCATTGAGGGATTT